TAGTCCCAACTACTTGGGAGGCTGAGGCAAGAGAATCACTTAAGCCCAAGAGTTTGAGGTTGCTGTGAGCTGTGATGCCATAGCACTCTACCCAGAGCGACAGCTTGAGTGAGACTTTGTCTCCAAAAAAAAAAAATAGCTACTAGACCTTTGCAGATCTGAGCTCCAATTTTTGAGCTTTATTCCCAGTCTATCTCTCCTCAAGGATCTTCTTACTAGTTGTCCAGCTGACACCAGGGCTGTCATCCAGTTCATATCTACCCCTACAGCCACTTCTATCGCTTCCCCTCTAAGACCACGCCTCCCCCCCCACCTCCCTCGCCCCCAGTTCATTTTCCAGAAAGCAGCCGGCCTGCTGAGTTGGGAGATACTGACTATATTAATCCTCATGTCAGAGCTCGGGGAACTTAAGTCCTCAGAGGTGAAAAGACTTGCTCAAGGTCACAGAATTAATCTTTGTGCAGAGTCCTCCATGTTCAAAACCAAACCCAGTGGTCCAACCGGGCTCCTGCAGACTTAGATGTCTGGACACCTGAGTCTCCAGCCAGGTCCCCTTTTCAACTCCTTTGGACTCATTGTGGAAGCCACCCACCTGCCAACCTCATGTCCACTTCTCCAGCTGAGTTGAGACCGCCGGCAGGTGTACTGTTTGTGGACCGTTAGCTCTGGGGGCAACAAAGCGGAAGAGCAGGTTTGGGTGGAGGGGTAAGGGGCAAGCCTGTGCTGGGCCTCTGCTGGGAGGGCGTGACTAGTACTACCAGTTAGTCCAACCACCCGGCAAGGCTAGGCTACTCCGGAACGCGAGAGAAAAACAGTGCCTGGCCTGGAGGAGCCCCAGGAACCCGTCAGCTCACGATCGTGCCCACAGAAGCCTCCGGGACCGGGAAGTGATTGTGGTTCCTCCGGACTCGGGACCCTCTTTATGGGAGGCCTGACACTCCCACCGTTCCTCCGGGCCTGGGGGCTGGAGACGCGGGCCGGGCCAGTTGAGGACTTGCCTGGCCGTAGGGAGACGTAAACTCGGTCACAAAGGTGCCCTGTCGGGCCGGTCTCCCCGCTCCGCTCGGCGAGAGGAGACAAAGAAACTGCGCGGAGGGGTCCGGAAGGCCCGGCAATGGCGGCCCGGGCGGGGCCACGGCCCGCCGACACCACCCCCACCATAGGCTGGGGCAGCGCACCCCGGTCGCGTAGCCAGGCTCCGCGCAGGCCCCACCTCCCACCCGGCCCGTAGCGTTCGCTTCGGCCGCCCAGTAGGCGGGGCCTTAGTGGAACCCGCCCCCAGCGTCAGCGTCGGCTTCGCCTCTGCAATGAGTGGAGGCGGAGCCGCTAGGTTGTAGAGTGGGAATGTTTGACCTCACCCCGGAAGTTTCCCCTCTGGACCCTTCTGGTTTGGGATATCTCTGCTTGGGGACCTGAGGTCAGATTTTTGAGGCTTGTAAAGAGGCAGGTGGATCTGTGGACATTATTAGAAATTGTTCCAAAGTTGATATACACGCCTTTTAAAAACGAGTTACAGGCAGGGCGCAGTGGCTCACACCTGTAATCCCAGCACTCTGGGAGATAGAGGTGGGTGGATAGTCTGAGCTCAGGAGTTTGAGACCAGCCTGAACAAGAGAGAGACCCTATCTTTAAAATTAGTGGGGCGTTGTGGGCGCCTGTAGTCCCAGCTACCTCCGGAGGCTGAGGAAAGAGTTTGAGGTTGCTGTCAGCTATACTGAGCCAGGGCACTCTAGCCTGGGCGACAGAGTGAGGCACTGCCTGAAAGAATCATCATCATCATCAAGGTACAGAAGCACCTATGGGGAAAACAGAAAAATCCAAGGAGACCGAGCCAACCACTGCCTCTCCTTGGGTGAGCCTTCCCCTCTCTCTCTTTGCAGTCTGCTGTCTCACGGATCACAGATCACTCTTACAACCGGAGGGGTGTCTGGAACGCTACTTGGACACACTTAAAAGCTCTTGCCTACTCTCCCTGCCTGGATGGCTCAAGCTCCTTCTACCCACAGAGATGCTCGGTTAGTTTTATCCTCTGCATTCCAACCTACTAAAGGGCAAGGACAAATAAACACTTTTTGGATGAGTGGAGCTGGCCGAAGTCTAGACCTATGGCTGAAGGAAGCTTTCACAACAATTTTGAGGACTCTCAGGTTCAGCCCTGCAAGTCAGGTGACTTTTGCGGTCTACACAACTCTATTTTCAGTTGAAAACAAATCGATGTTCCAAATTCCTGTTAAGGAGAAGAAAAACAGGCTCTAGAAAGAGCTGCCCCAGGCTTTCCCTGCAGCTACAACCAGTGCTAAACACCCAGCCGCAGCCTGCATCTGGGGAGGCCTCTGGCCACAGGCAGATGGGCCCTTCTCGAGTCACCACAACTGGCTGGCGGGCTTCTCCCCTCCATGCCTTCACTCATGCTGCTCCCCAACTTCACCTACCCAGACTCTCCGCCCATGAAGGCCCGAGTCAATCTCCCTTCCCTCCTTTCTATCACCTCAAGGGCACACTGACCACATGCGGTGCTGGGATAGCTGGTGCCCCCTGGGTCACCTGATCCAGCTGTCTGGAGGCCAGCAGCTGGGCCATATCAGAACCACCGAAACCTTCCAGCTTTTGGACCCACTGATCCCACTTACTGGAAACTGCCTGCCACCAAGGAAATAATCCAAAATACAGAGAAGCCTTATAAAGCCAGGCAAGGTTAGAATCTAATAGTTTATGTATTGGCATACATAACACTCATATACAGTTCTTCTTAAAAGCTATTGAGATAACCTGTTTCAGCAGCCTGATACTGTAGTCAGGGGTTTGTATTTGGGTTTTTTATGGAATTTGATGGCCTCTCAGGTATTTGTGGTACTGAAAATTGTGCTCCATGCCCTCCTCAGTTAGGCTCAGTAGAAGATGCTCCCAGCTACTCACCTCTATGGGTTGCCAGTGGGCACAGAGTATCTGCTGTACTGATAGTTCTTAAAAGACTGTGCATTTGATTTGCATTTTGCTCAGAGCAGGCATTTAGGAAAGGTTGGTTTAATGAGTCCCCCTGAGACAACGTCCCCTTCCCCTGGGGCACCACACAAGTTATAGGCCAGAGGCCGGGGATTCAGTTCCAAATCTGTGCTTCCAGGGGCAGCCTTATGCATGCCCCTTATTTTTTCTGGGACTGGTTTTTTTTTTCTTTTTTGTCAGACAGGTCTCACTCTGTTGCCCAGGCTAGAGTGCAGTGGTGTCCCCATAACTCACTGTAATCTGTAAACCTGCACTCAAGTGATCCTTCTGCCTCAGCTTCCCAAAATGCTAGGATTACAGGCATGAACCACTGTGCTACATATTTTACTCCTATGCATTAGGGTAACATATGCATAATGTAACATTTGTCATTTTAATCATTTTAAGCATATGATTCAGTGGCATTAATTACATGTGTTATTAGTGTTGGGTAACCATCACCACCATGCATTTGTGTGTATGTGTGTGTATTCATATACGGTAGGACCTCCATAGCTGACCACCTCCCTACACTGACCACCTCCTTAAGTTGACCTAATTTTAATAGACCAGCCATGCACCACATATATGTATCAGTACAGTAGGCCAGGTTCCTTACCGTGACCACCTCATATGTGGGCCAGTTTGTTATAGTCCCTTGGGGGTGACTGTATATTGTTTATATATACATCTCCACACATATATACATATACACACACACTTTTATGGGCACATATATATGTCCATAGAACTATAAAGAATTCTGGGAGGATGCACATTAAAGTCATAGCAATAGTGAATAGTGACTTCTGGGAGAGAGAGAAAAGTGAATGAAATCAAGGATGGTGGCCAAAAGGGATTTTAGATTTGTCTCTAATGCCTTTTTTTCTGAGGTTTTTTTTTTTTGAGACAGAGTCTCACTTTGTTGCCCTTAGTAGAGTGCTGTGGCGTCACAGCTCACAGCAACCTCAAACTCTTGGGCTGATGGGATTCTCTTGTCTCAGCCTCCCAAGTACCTGGGACTAAGGCGCCCACCATAATGCCCAGCTATTTTTTTTGTTGTTGTTGCAGTTGTCGTTGTTTAGTAGGCCTGGGCCAGGTTCGAACCTGCCAGCCCTGGTGTATGTGGCCGGCGCCCTAACTACTGAGATACTGAGCGCCAAGCTGTTGTCTCTAATGTCTTAATTAATTAATTTCCTTTTTTCTTTGTGCATATGTGTGTGAGACAGAGTCTCACTCTGTTGCCCTGGGTAGAGTGCTATGGTGTCATAGCTCAAATCAACCTCAAACTCATGGGCTAACGTGATCGTCCTGCCTCAGTGTCCCAAGTAGCTGGTACTATAGGCACCCACCACAATGCCCGTATAGTTTTTTCCTATTTTTAGTAGAGACAGGGTCTCCCTCTTGCTCAGGCTGGTCTGGAACTCCTGATCTCAAGCAATCCACCTGCCTTAGCCTTCCAGAGTGCTAGGATTACAGGCATGAGCCACCATGCCCGACCAAAAACACTTTTTTTTTGTTTGAGACAGTCTTTTTTTTGGAATTTATTAATAGTTTATTTATCACTCATATTCATAGCTCAGGAACACAGGTCAGTGACAAATGTCTATGTAAATCAGCTCAAAGAAATTCTTTTTCTTTTTTTTGAGACGGAGCCTCAAGCTATCCCCCTGGGTAGAGTGCCATGGCATCACGCTCACAG